AAGACTGTCCTCTTCTGGTCTCACTCTGTGAGTATCTAGAATTCTGTGTAATTTGTCATATTCGTTAAGTTTTAAATCCAACTTCCACATATCAGGGAGAGCATGCACCGCTAGTCTCTGATGTTGGCTCACCTCACTTAACATGATGGTTGTAGTTCCCTCCATGTCCCTGCAGATGATACCGTTTTGTTCTTTGTAATGGCTGTGTAAAATTCCATTGTACATAGGTACATTTTGGGGATCCACTGATCTACTGTGGGGCATCTGGGGTGTTTCCATATCTTGGCTATTGGGAAGAGAGCAGCAGTGATCATGGAGGTGCAGGTGTCCTGTTCATGATGCTCAGGGTAGATGCCCAGGAGTGGTATGGCTGGGTCGTAGGGAAGGTCTGTGTTTAGTGTTTGAGGACCCTCCAGACTGCTTTCTAGAGTGGTTGTGCCCGTGTCCATTCCCACCAGCAGTGCAGCAGGTTCCTTTTTCCCCACATCCCCGCCAGCATTTGCTTCAACAGTATTTTTAAGGTTTGTTTTGAATGTAGCAACCGTTTGTCTAATTGCTGAGTAGTGAATATACAGTTCTTAAGTTGATAGAAAATTGGATTATTTCCAATCTAAGACTGATGTGAATATACTTTCACATATATTTTGGAGCATACAAGATTTAATTATTTCCAGTTTGGGGCTGATGTGAATGTGCTTTGACATATATTTTGGAGCATACAGGATTTAATATGAGGTAGGAAAATAAATATAGGATGAATTATTGGACTTTATAGTGTATGTGTTTTTACAGTCTTAATAAAATGCTGTTTCCCAAAGTGGTTATATTATTAACCTACAGTACGTAAAAATGCATTGTTTTATAGTTTACCTTAGTAGATTTTTGTCTTAACTGTTCATTTTCTCTGAATACATGTGAAATTGCCTTCTCATATGTCTGTTGATCATTTGGATATCTTTTCTGGAAAGTTGTTCACCTATATTCTTTCAATTGAGTTATATTTCTTTTCATTTTTTTACTTAGTCTGGTCATTGAGTAATTTTCTTGGTATTGGAGTTTAAAACGGTACTTGGGTTTAAACTCAGGATCTCACATTTGTTAAGTAGGTACTCTACCTACTTCTGAACCACCACCACCACCACCCCCTTTTTTTTTTTTTTTTTTTTGGTGCTGATACTTGGGGCTTGAGCTCAGGGCTTAAGAACTTTTTTGTTCAAGGCCAGGTCTGTACCACTTGAGCCACAGCTCCATTTCCAACTTTTTGCTAGTTAGTTGGAGATAGGCCTCTCACAGACTTTCCTGCCAGGGCTGGCTTCAGACCACAGTCATCAGTGCCTGGCTGCCACCACCTCGGCCTCTTCCTCCTTTTCCTCCTCTTCTACCCCTCCCCCTCTTTCCTGTGCCCTTCTCCTCTCCCAGCTTCCCTCCCTCAGTTGTTAGTATATGGGAATACAGTTGGTGTTTTTTCAACTTTTGCGTTCATTAGCCTTTTTATTTATTTTTTTTTAAATTTTTTATTGTAAAGATACTATACAGAGGGTTACAGTTACATGAGCAAGGTAATGAGTACACATCCTATTGAGCATTGTTACCCCCTCCATTGTTTTCCCGCTACCATCCCTTCCCTCCCTACCTTCCCCAAGGTTCTTTTTTTTTTTTTAATTGTGATTAAGTGATTACATAATTTCCCAAATTTCACAGTATTGTGGAATAATGATGCTCATTCAAAGTCACAAGTTCATTCTAACTTTCCTGGAGCAAATTGTCTATCACGGTCTATCACATATAACGGTGTACACATATACACCATACATGTGATCAGCAGCATGCGGATATTTAGTAGTGGTTCGACCAGATGAGTGGAAGTTCTTTGTTTCTTAAGTCCTGTTAATTTTGTCGTATCACCTAACATTTTGGATTTAGTATCCACTTACCAGGAAGACCATGTACTGTTTGTCTCTTTGCTCTTGGCTTACCTCGCTCAACATGATTTATAGCATTCATTTTTTTCTCTGCCCAGGCCTGATAGACAAAGGCTGTGCCATATGAACCATGCCCATAGTCTTGCTTAATTATATCTTTTGGGTTTCCTACATATGTAAGCATATCTGCAAATAAAACATTCGCTTTTTGCTTTTTAAATCATTAGGTCTTGGGGTTGGGAAGGTGGCTCAGTGGTAGAGCACTTGCCTTGCATGCCTGAGGCCCTGGGTTCCATTCCTCAGCACCACATAAGAAAAAAGCCGGAAGTGAAACTGTGGCTCAAGTGGTAGAGCGCTAGCCTTGAGCTGAAAAGCTGAGGGACAGAGCCCAGGCCCAGAGATCAGGCCCCACGACCGGACCCAAAAAATAAATAAATAAATAAATTATTAGGTCTTTTCTTTGCTGCACTGGTTGGGCTCTTTCCAGTGTCATGTTGAGTAGCAAAGAGAAAACTTCTATCACTATATGTATTCTGTGTTATTAAGCCTTCATAAGATGGCCTTCATCAGCTTAAGGAAATGACCATAGCATCCTTGTTTATTAGAAATGCTTTCATTAATAAGTAGATAGTGAATTTTATTAAAAACCTTTTCTATATACTGTCAAAACAGTGCTTTGTAAACAGTCCTTAGAAGTATATCATGTGGGACTGGGAAGGTGGCTCAGTGGTAGAGCGCTTGCCTTGCGTGCCTGAGGCCCTAGGTTCAATTTTCGATTCCTCACCACCACATAAGCAAAAAGAAAAAAGCCAGAAGTGGCACTGTGGCTCAAGTGGTAGAGAACTAGCCTTGAGCTGAAGAGCTGAGGGACAGTGCCCAGACCCAGAGTTCAGGCCCCACGACCGGACCCAAAAAAAAAAAGTATATTATGTGGCTATAGGTGGGATAAAAAAATATTTGAAAGTAATAGCTAAAAAAGATTCTAGTTTGATGAAAGCTATTGACTCATAAATCTAGGAAGCTCATAAGCCTCAAGAACAGGAGCCAGGAAGAAAGAAAACTGTACTGTAACACATCATAATTATATTGCTGAAAATAGTGATTTAGAAAACTTAAATGTAGTCAGAAGAAAGAGGAACATTATATATGAGGGAACAAAGACCAAACAGCAGACTTCTTATGGGAAACAGTACAAGCCAGAATAAATAAATGCATTAATTAATTGTATGCCTATAAATACACATTTTTTTCCTATTGCTTGAGAGTGAATCCAAGACCTTATACACGCTCACTAGGACAAGTCTCATGGACTTTGCTGCCCAGGCTGGCTTCAAACTGTGATCTTCAGATCTCAGCCTCCTGGGCAGCTAGGTTTACAAGTGTCAGTCACTGATTCCTGTCTTCAGAACTTTTTCAGTACTGACGTGACACTGCTAGAGGAAATTTCCATACCTGGTCTCATGATGGTTGTTATAACACTGATGCATTGAAAAGTTCTGTATAACATTGTCTCTGTGTACGGGAAGCAATTTTTTTCATAACCATAAATATTGGGTCCCATCTGTAAGATATCATATATTTTGTTATTCCAAAATCTGAAAAACTCTGAAATATTTCTAGACCTAGCGTTTCTGATTGGGGATCCTTGCACGCTCTAGGTGAATGGTGAGTATAGGTGTAGGGTCAGTGTGACTGCCACACTAAAATGTCCATCCTGTACTTCGGCAGCTGTGGAGCCCAGGGTCTTCTGTGGTGAGCACCTGGGAAGTCTAGTGTTGTAAGACGGAGTCTGCAGTAGAAAGAGATGGCTTTATCAGGGCTAAATCGATGTGTGTTTGGGATTATAAAGTAGGTTGCTGAGATCCTTAGGCACAGAAGACACTGCTGTCCTAGACTCTGTGGTGATGGTTGTAAGGTCTATAGCCTGGCAGAATGCTGCTGAAGATGATACCCAGTTCTTTGTCCTTGCCCTCTAGATACGCAGGTAGCTGCTGAGCTGTCTGGTTCACCCACAGAACCTTGTGGAGGTTGATTTATGAAAACATGTAACCCATATGTGCACTCGAGGTGTGAGCAGGCAAGCTGAGGGAGAGACCTCTGAATTCAAGCCCTGGCACCTGTACAGAAAGATGCGGGGAGTGTGCGTGCCAGTGAGGCCTTGTCATCCCTGGTCTGCTTGAGTGTCCCTAATAGCACAGGGTTCTCCCTAAAGAGCCAGCTGCTGTGGAGCTGGCAGGACAGGGCACCACCAGAGAGACCTCTGGACAGAGATGGAGACTTTGAGAAAGGTCCCAGTAGTCTTGAAGCAGCAACCTAGGCCCTGTTCCCCCCTCCACCATTTTGTCTGCATCAGGGACACTGCAGTGGCAGGAGAGACCTTGGGGTATTTTTCTGTGTGTCCCTCACCCCCTATGCCAAGGCTCCAAGCAGGGCCAGAGCAGTGCTGGTCCTGCAACCCACTGCCCTGGGTCCCCAGATGCTTCCGGGACCTGCAGGGCCTGGCCTTATCTGATGGGGGACTTCAGGTGTTTCAAACCCCTGAACTTGAGCTTCTTTTCCTGTGCTTCTAAGGCGGGAGAGAATACAGAGTTGGTAACCTTGCGTCTTCCTCAGGCTTCACCCCACAGTAGGGAACTGCTTGAAAAAGCAGTCATGGAACCAGGTAGCCAATGGTAAGTTACACTGGAAGGAGGTGCCCAGTGGAATGCTCAGGAGCAGTCCTCGGTGGTGCTCTTATGCCAGCCCAGCCCACATCCTCCGCATGGTAGCTTCACAGCACAGCAGACCCCGGGAGGTCGCCCCCGAGCCGTCTTCTGGTCTGAAAGTCAGGCTAGCAGTTTCCTCTGGGAGGATGGACACAGCAGTACAGGTGAAGAATCAAGAGGCAATTTGCTAAGGTTTTCTGTATGGAGTTACTGTTTTACAACACTGAGCACAGTTTTATTCAACAAGTTTCCTGTTTTATGCTTTACTATATAAACATACATGTGCATTTTATTTTAGAACTGTATAGATCTTTTAACAATCTTGGTTCTGTGGATCAGGTTTTGAAAATAGAATTTTTTTTTTCTATTCCAGACTCCTTTTAGTTTTGGCATGAATCATAGGACACCACCCTACCCCGCTGGGGATTATTGTCTTCTATGCAGAAGTGAACGGAAAGACTCTTCATTATTAGAGAGTGGCGTTAAGACTGCGAGCAAATTGGCCCTGTCCATGGCTCCCAAGGGGGACAGCGTGCTGCACCTGCCGCTGTGGGTGTGCCCAGACTGCCGGAGGACCGTGGAGGAGGAGGAAAGGCACGGCAGCCTTGACCAGCCGGTGAGTGGCTGCCAGTGGGGGCAGGCTAATGGAATGGCGCCTCCTTTGTGGGCTGCAGGCTAACTGGCGGCTTGCGTTCCCCGCCAGGGCACTCCACCCCGCACTGTCTGCTCACCCACGTCCATCTTCTGGGATGCCCCTCCCTGCCTTGGCCCAACGGTTGACCTTCAAGGTGCTTTTTGGTTTTTTAGTCTAGACTCGGGATTTTCCTGGTGATGCAGTTTCCTGAAAAGCTTAAAGGCTTTTGTGTGTTTCGTTCTGCACAATTCTGTGGGCTGGTAACTGCCTGACTCCTTTCCCAGATGCAGGTCTCAGGTCTGTCCTCCCCCTTCGAGATTTCCTGCTATGCTTTAATGGAAGCCACTTTGATCTGATGCTTGACGCAAGCTCCCCAAAAGGCCTTTCAGAGCTGTGTGTTGGGAGTTGGCTTCTGCAGCCGTTTGAATACCCACATTCTAGGGTCTTCTCTCCCCCTTGATTCTTGGTTGCAAGCAGCTGTTTTCCTTCTTCTGACCCATCACTGCATGCAGCCAGTGACAAGAGGCAGTCTCTGCCCTTCCTTCTTGGGGTAATCCCAGCGGCAGTTGATGGCTGCTGTGGCGGTAGCTGCCCACATCCCAGCCCTTGCCTTCTTTAGCCAGCGGCTCCTGGAAAGCAGCATTTGGACACTCCAGTGCCAGTTTTGTAGCTGACCCTGGGGCCTTCGTGTTTATCAGTCAGACTAGAAATCAACTTCAATCTTGACCCCCTTCCCACAGATCCCCATTGCTATTTCTAACATATTACATTGGCTTACTTATTCTGTCTTCCTTCTTTGCTGGAATCTAAGCCCTATGAAGGCAGCTATTTTCATTTATTTATGTATTTATTTTAACCAAGAAAAGAACTATATCTGGCCTGATATAAATTGTGCCTAAAATATTTAATGAGTAATGACTGGTCAAAGAAATGAACAATATGTAACTTCCTCATTAGAAATTTTAAAGAGAACATAATCTGACTCTTTATTACCCTTAGATTATATGTATACGTGCATATGTGTGTTTTCTTTATTTCAAAAGGTTGTGCAAGGAGGTTACAGCTGTGACATTTCCATTTTGGTGATGAGAGTCACCTCTGTCCTTCTCCCTAATCCTACCAGTCCCTTCTCTCTTTGTTTCTTGAGACAGATCTTGTTACATAGTCCAGATTGGCATTGAACTCATAATCCTTGTTTTCCACTTCTATTTTTTACCATTTTTCACATAACTTTCTGTGTACAAAGAAAGCTGTTTAGTATTACTTGTGTTTTTTTTTCTATTTCACTTATCAGCATGCGTGCGTGCGTGTGTGCGTGTGCATGTGCATGGGTGTGTGTGTGTGTGTACGTGTATGTACTAGGGTTTGAATTTGGGCCAGGGTCCTGTCCCTGCACCTTTTCACTGAAGGCTGGTGCTCTGCCACTTGAGCCTCAAGTCCACTTCTGGCTTTTTGCTAGTTAACTGGAGATAAGCGTCTCACAGAGATAAGTCTCATAGCCTATTCTGCCTAGGCTGGCTTAGAACCTTGATCCTCAAATCTCAGCCTCTTGAGTAGCTAGGATTGCAGGTTAGAGCCACCAACATAGCATTCTTAATTCATAAGTCTTTTCACTAATGCACTTGTGTGTGTGTGTGTGTGTGTGGTTTTGAATGTTACCGTTTCTGTAAGACAAGATTTCATTCTATAGACCAGGTAGACTTCAATTTCCCAAGTCCAAGGATTATAAGGCATGGACCACCATGCCTGGCTTCATATTTGTCTTTTTCCTCTATAGTTCTGCTCTTTTTGAGAGCGTCACATGAACCTCTGTCACCGGTCACATGCTGCTGCAGTGTGTCGCCGCTCTGCCGGTTCACTTGTCTCCCCGTTAATGAACAGTCCTTGGCGCTGTTGGAGTGTTTGATCTGGTTTCGTCATTGTATTTTCTTATTTTCGGTGGTACTGGGGATTGAACCCCATGTGTTACACATGCTAGGTAAGGCCTCTACCACTTAAGCCATACGCCCAGCAACCTGGCTAGGCCTGTTCACAAAAAAGCAGCTGTGAACCTTTTTGCACACATCTTTTTGTATACATCCTTTGACATGTTGCCACATTGGTTTGTCTAAATTTGGTAAGGATTTTACCCTTTTGAAAGATAACTTCTGGTAGTCTGTTTATCTTGTAATGTCCTTACGGACTTCTAAAATGAGTTGAAATGTTTTCCTGTTTCTTTTTGTGTAAAATTGTCCTTTCCATTTCTCCTAAGTATTGCACTTGTTTTCTGCTTCTGTCACTGTCTGGTCATGTGCCAGGGGTGTATGGCAGGGCCCTGGTGTGGTCCCCTGCTGTGACCCTGGAGGCTCAGGGCACCCTTGTGCTGGACCGTCTCTAGCGGAGTGTATCCCATCCTGGGTCTGTGTGGCTGGGGCATTGGGTCTTCTTTATATTTTCTACTTGGCTGTCTCTGGTGGTAGCTCTGTCAGACCTGACATGGGAGCGGCCCTCTGCTTGGGTCTGAAGGCGGCTATTCCCCGAGCTTGTCCCTGCCTGCAGCCAGACTCCACATTGTTAACAAGCAGCAGTTTATCAGGCCTGGACCTGGGCACAGGTGCCTGTCCCCGTCCACCAAAGCTTTCGTTCCCCGTCGAAGGTAGGTGGCCCTCCTGGGGTGCACACCGTCCCTGACTGACGCTCACCACACTGGCAAAATGCGCCTGTTCCTACTTCTGTGACTTTCTTCCACCTTCCTTTCTCTGCCAGGGGAGAAAGAGTAAGTGTGTCCCCTTTTCTCCTTAGAAGGGCTTGTCGTTCATCTGGATATCCCTGTCACTCTGTTCTCCATGGTCCTGAGGTAGTCAGAGCTGAGTCTGCTCTTCTCCCCTAGCCCCCCCCGCCCCCCCCCCCCCCCCAGGGCAGACCTGAGAGCTGAATGCCACCTCAAAGAGAAGACGGTCTGTGTAACAGAGAAGCCACTCCATCAGCTAAGTGGGGCTCTCTTTTTGCCTCACAATTGTACTTGCTTTCTCCAGAACCTCTTCCTGGATAGCTGCTCATTCCCAGCCTCATGTCCTGCCCAGAGCCGGAAGCTTTTCCTCACAAGCCTTCCATTTGACGCTTTTCTCTGAGGCTCGCTTCCTTGGCTGTATCTTAGTGGCTCTCAGGTTGTTCTCTCTTGGATGAGGTCTCCTTGTACTCTTGGGACACCACCAAAGTTACAGCTACAGAATTGTTTGTGGGAATCTATTTTCAATTCTAGTTTTCCTTGTAGGTATGATTTTTTAGTTTCTCGTATTTGTGCTTCTTTTAAACCAAAGTAGCCTTTAGTTTTAAGATACCATTCTTTTTTTTTTGTCAGTCATGGGGCTTGAACTCTGGGCCTAGATGCTGTCCCTCAGCTCTTCAGCTCAAGGCAAGTAAGTGCTCTACCACTTGAGCCACAGCCCCACTTCTGGTTTTCTGGTGGTTAATTGGAGTTAAGAGCTCATGGACTTTCCTTCCAGGGCTGGCTCTGAACCACACTCCTCAGATCTCAGCCTTCTGAACAGCTGGGATGACAGGCGTGAGCCACCAGCACCGGCTGAGACACCATTCTTTTCACGTTGTTTCACTCATTACTATTTTATATATACATGTATGCTTGTTTTATTCATGACTGCTGTTTTATATACACATGTATGCTGTCATTTTGCTCCGTTGAGTCTGTGTTGCACAGGAAACTGCAAGAAAGAGGACGGTGCAAAGTAAATGTCCTCCAGCATCTGCCTCCACTCTCCTCACTTGCCAAAGGCCTTGCTGCCACCAGGGCTTGTCGTCCGGAGTGTCTGCTGGCCCTTATTTCCTGGAAGTGTCGTGGGGAGGCTCTCCCAGCCTCTCCTCCCCCGGGGACAGAGCTCTGGTGCCCAGCCAGGTGGGGTGCACGTCAGAACCGGGGTTCTGCCTGTTTTCTAGTCCCTCCAAGAAGCCCTTGGGCCTTTATCACACGTGCTGGAAGACTTTACTGATTACTGCCGTAGATTTTGACATGTTCATGACACTGGTTCTGTTATAAATATGGGTAATATTTATTATTTTCTTCATAAATTATTTCAAAGTCATTATACATGTTTAAATGTCACAGATTGCCTTCAGTTGTCTTGACTTTTAATGATTAAATATGTTTCTGTGTATATTTTTATGTACTTGTTTATTTTCATTTATTATTTTTTGGTGGCAAGGGGGTTGGCATTCAAGCTTTGCTCTTTTCCTTTTTTCTTTTTGCCAATCTTAGGGCTTGAACTCGGGGCTTGTAAACTGCCCCAGAGCTGCTTTTGCTCAAGATTAGCACTCTACCACTTGAACCATAATGGCACTTGAACCTTTTTCTGTGTATGTGGTACTGAGGAATCAAACTTAGGGCTTCATGCATGCTAGGTCAGCACTCTACCACTGAGCCACATTCCCAGCCCACTCTGTTTCTTTTTAAAGATTTATTATTTAAGCCAGGCGCCAGTGGCTCACACCTGTAATCCTAGCTACTCAGGAGGCTGAGATCTGAGAATCACAGTTCAAATCCAGCCCTGGCAGGAAAGTTCGTGAAACTCTTTATATCCAATAAATCACCAGAAAAACAGAAGTGGTGCTGTGGCTGAAGTGGTGGAGTGCTTGCCTTGAGCTGAAGAGCTGAGGGACAGCGCCCAGGCCCAGAGTTCAGGCCCCATGACTGACATATAAATAAATAAATAAAATAAAAAGATTTATTATTTATTTATTTTGTGTTGGTATTGGGGCTTGAACTCAGGGCCTCATGCTTTTGCTCATTCATGATGCTCTACCCCTTGAGCCATGCCCTCAGCCCCTTGACTTTAATTATTTTAACCCTCCTATCTTTGCTTTCCATGAACCACCATACCCAGCTTGTTTTGTTGAGAGAATGGTCTCGATAATGTTTTACCTGGGCTGACATCAAACTCATACCTCTCGATTCCCACCTCGAGTAACTGGGGTGACGGGTCATGTCG